CTTCAGACTGTTTTTGCTTGCTTTTTGACATGACTTATTTCTGATTGGAAAGCTGGACATGATGTATCAGGTAATAGGAACTGAGGTAAATCAGTCTTTAGTGTGAGATTTTATGCTCAGCTAGCTAGGAGTTGGGCTGTCTAATGTTTGCCATAGTTGTAGGTGTCAGAGGCTTTAAATTCCTCTAATGTCCTTGTTTTTGTCTCCTTTGTCATCTCTGGGCTTCCCTAAGAACTCTTCCTTAAATAGTCTGTGTCTTGCAACTCTAGTAGCTGTAACCCACTATTATTATACTGGATCCCATGAGAACCTGGTGGAGGTCATGAATGAAAATCCCACAAAAGCATCCTCAATACACACACACACACACACACACACACACACACACACACACACACACGCACAAACACAACCATAGCTCCCAAGAGTTTCTTACTCTCACAGTAGTCTATACTCAGCCTCCAACAATTTGTCAAAATTACCAATTAAGTGTGCCTACCAATTTGTGGCTCCAGCAGCTTCTGCCCCCATAGGCAGATCGCAATGTGATTTTCTGTATTTACCTGCCTCTCAATATTTCAGCATGGAAGTTTGCCCTATGATTTCAATTCTGTAATAGATAAAAGAAAAGTGGTGGATTATCACTTTATTTAGCTTTTTTCTTGTCAGGAGTGATGACTCCCAAGATCTTCACATTTCAGAGCTTTAATAGGAAACAGCAGGACATTTAATAAGAATTATTTGATGGGGTCATTTTTAACTCAGGAGAGTTTTTGATATTATTGCATCAAAAGTTAAAGCACTCTATGTTCTTATTGAGTGATATATGCCATGGATACCTCTGAGATCACCACTAGCTTCAACCCCACCTTACCCCTAACTTCCCCCCTTTTATGACCTCATTCCAAGCAGAAGGGAGTGGGGCTCAAGTTGTAGAAAGAAGGCTCTGTTTTACCCATTACTTGGTCATCAAAAAGCTGAAAATATCCATCACAAAATGGCCTCAGTAAAGTAGCTGCATCAAGACTGCATGTGCCCTGGAAAAAACAGGATGCAGAAAGGCTCAAATTTAAATTTTCTAATCCAGTAGTTTTTTAATGGAAACATGAACTGGTTGAGACTGAATCCTCGCCTTCTCCATCCTCACCTCAAATCTCCAGTTTTCTTGGCCCTTTACCATTTAATCTCCTGAGTTTAACTCTTTTCAGAGCTGATGACTCTGGCAGTCAAGCCTTTTGTTAGTGAACAGCCCAGTATTACCTGAGCCACATCCTGGAGCAGGAGTATGTGGCCTTACCAATAAGTGCCAGTTAAGTCCCTTGGCATGGATTACTTTGCCTTTTTAGTAATATAATCATAAAAAATAGATTTATTGAGCATTTAATACGGCCCAAAGCTGTGATACTTGGTTTATATATAACTTATCACACTTATTCCTCACTATCACCCTTTGAAGTAGGAAAACTATGTATCAGAGAAAATAAATGACTTTCCCGAGGTCATATAGCTAGTTTATGGTGAAGGCAGGACTCAAACTGAAATCTGTCTATGACTTAAATTAAGTGCTTTCCCTAGTCTGCTCCTCTCAGAGGCAGAACATTCGCATGTAATAAATTCCACTAGGATTCTTATCACTAATGTGGGAACAGCTGTTTGTAAGTCCAGGTTTAGCAGATAATCCAGCAGTTCGCCTGGATTAGCCCATAGGTCCCCCCCTACGACCCTAGGAAGGCAAGAACTATAGTGTATTCACTACTGAGTCCCCAAAACAGGGGCCCTAGTAAAGCAAAAATGTTTGTTGGCAACATGAACGCATGAAGAAATGAATAACTTCATAAGCCTATGCATGAATGAATGAATGAATGAATGAATGAATGAAGCAACTCTCGGCATGATGACTTACTACAATAAGAAGAAGCCTTTCCAAGCATTATATTGGGTTGTCAGAAAAGTCATGACGTATTTTTTCTCTGTTTTTCGTTGCAAAAACGCGTCATGCCTTTTCTGACAACCTAATACAATCCTGGGATCATCACTAATATCAGACTATGAACTCCAGTGGAGCAGGAACCATATTGGTCTTACTCATCAGGCTGTTACCAGCTAAATTAGCACATGCCCAGCACACAGTAACTTTTCAATAAACGTTTGTTCTTTTTGCTGGATGGACTTGTCAGAGGCAATCCCTTCAAGGACAAGCAGCCCTGCTCTCTGAAGAATGACTGACAGCTTATGGCTTCTTTTCTGGATAACCCCTTCTTATCCCTGCCTATTTCCTCTTCCTAGAATACACACAGTTATTATTACAAGTGCCATTCTTCACCCCACACCTCCACCTGATTCTTCCCTAGCTGTGTTTAACATAAAAGTTAGGCAGAGAAATACTGCATAGGAACTACATGCATTAGGATCCTGGTCTGTGACCAGTGGGAGGGGCTTAGAGATCATCTCCTTTCAGAGATGAGAATGAGAACGTGTAAGCAAGTAACCCAGGGTCGCCGCACAGACGTGCCCCCCACCCTCAGTCCAGGGCTCGCAGCGGCCCATAGCACTGCCGTTTCTATACTTGCTTCATACATTCACATTGGCCCCATTCTGAATAGTGAACTCAGAATATACCATGTTACTAGCCCTTAGTTTTTTTGTTTCATTTTTGGCTTTTGGTTTTTTTGTTATTTTATTAATAATACATGTAGAAGAAGAAAACACCCAAAAAAACCAACATGAGAAGCTCGCCATCACCACCTTCTGGCTCACCCTTGGCAATGAACCCAAGTGCAGTTCTGTGGTCACATGAATGAAAACTAATCACAGAGGGGGCGGGGAGTGGGGTGGGGTGCTTTGGGTTTTTAGTGCTATCCCCCCTCTAAAGCTGGAAAGCTAAGTTGTGGTGTGAAGTAAGAAGATGTTAAATCTAAAACCCTGTGTTAAAAAAAATCATAGAACTTGGACTTTAATCATAAAGATCATTTTACCAAAGCATATTTTTAAAAGGCTGTGAAACATTATGCAACGTTTGCATGGCTTAATTATGAGTTTAGAAAAGCCTAACACAACTTTTTCACTACAGTAAAACATGACAGAGCATGAATTATGGCATAATACTTTATGCTTACTGTGGTTTTAGACATGGGGTTAGGGGTGCTGGGCTGTCTACACAACAAGGCATGAATTACTGTACCGCAATTCACAGCCCGGAGGGCTTTTTGACAATTATAAAACTTCTTTTGTTTGCTTTTTAAATGATCAAACTATCTGAGTACTATACATTCACTTAGCAAATGTGTGTATCTAGGACACGTACGTGTCTTATAGAAAAATATCTGAGTATACAATTTTTTTTCACTTGGAGCAAAATACTTGTAGCAATGTGGGAATCTTGAACAATCTGCTATTATTACTTGCTTTTGATTATTGGAAACTGTTAGCTGTAGGATTATGCAAAATTGTTGACTGTAGTTCAACACTTATCTTCCACTGAGTTTAGAATGGACCAGCTTTCATTTCCCGCCATCTCCTCAAATTCTCTAAATCTCAGAATTAAATGAAGACCTTACTTTAGTATTCAGTTTCAAAGATTCTAAGTTAAAATATTTGCCCAGGTTTTTTTCAAACTGGAAAGCTCAGTTATTTTAAAGAAAAGAAATCGATCAGTCTGAGGGGAAGGGGTAGGGGGCTGTCAGAAGCTTGACAAAGAAGACTTGGGTCTCCAAGTGCCTGATTTCATTTTCTGCCATGATAGCTTCAAAGAGGCAAAACTTAAACTTCAAAAAGGCAAACGTTAGCTGCTGGAAATGACACGCCCCTGGTGGAGAAGCTCGGAATATTTTATCACCAGTAGGAATCACTCATGTCTATGACATGGCACATTTAAAATTTACACCTGGTATTTTCCTAAGGAACTTTGTTCTTCCTAGATTTCCTTGCAGCATCATGCAGCCCCGACTGCAAAGACCCTTGGGAGTTAGTATAGCTTGCTGTCACTTTTGTACACCAACAAGGTGGGACACAAAGACAAAATTAAAGTTTAATCTTAAAGAAATGTAAAGCTATCTTGTGGGGACAGTGTTCAATTTAAATTTTCTTATATCTTTTGCCTAAAAATAGAGGGTTGGTTTTTTTCCCCTCTCCTTTTCATCTGCAAACAGCGTGATGCTTTTGAAAACTAAGATTCCTGTGAATGCTGGAGTCAAATTTACAAAACGGCTTTTTACCTAAATCTTCTGAAGTCAGACTTTGGTCTCCTCTCTATCCTGGGCCTCTTTTAATGGCGATCTATAAAATACTTGCTCAGCATTCAGCCCTTGAAAAGTTGCAAACCTGAGGTCTTGAAAAGATGCAGGGCGCCTCTGTGAGTCTGGGGCGACAGCGCCAGCTCTCTACTGACTGGGTTTGGGAAGCGGTCATCAGGCCTCAGTTCCAGTTTCTCAGCCAAGCCTTCTTTTCTGTTACCCTTGGGAGAGAATTTTTGCCTAAACAGAAAACATCTATAAGCTCATGAAGTATTTCCACCAAAGGCACAAAAAATAACAAAAACCGAAACTCTTATGTTCTTTTTCTTCTTATTGAGTACAGATATGGACAGGTGATCACCTGAGTGTATAAGATGTTTCTGACAGTGTTAATTATAATTATTGGTAAAGCTGAAATTGGGCAGTCAATACGTGCTGTAGTTCAGCAATTTAAACATTAACACTTCTACCTGGAAAGCATAATGAATGCCTCCTGTCATTATTTGCATGATTAAATAAAACCTTTGGAAGGAGGAAGATTTGCAGAGGAAAATCTTCAAGAATCAAACAACCTATATTTCATTATCTTTGGGGGGCGGAAATCATCAAGCAAAAGCAAATGCTGGACTGAAGTAGGCTTATTAGACACCGGCAAACAGTCCACAGACATGTATAACATTGAAACAAAGGTGACCAGTTTCTTGCCAAAAATCTTTCAAAAAAATTTAGCCCTCCCCTCATATAACTGACCTCCTTGATTGTCCACAGATACAAGACAGATCCAAGCATCCCCACCGTGGTCCTACGATCAGTCCTACCAGTACCTGGGATCAATCGCCTCTCCTTCCGTACACCCAGCAACACCCATCTCGCCTGGACGGGCCAGCGGCATGACTACCCTCTCTGCAGAGCTTTCCAGTCGGCTCTCAAGTAAGCTGCTTGGAAACACACTCAGAAACTGAGCTAGAGTGGAAGGTTCGACAGGCTAGAGGACATGCGCGAAGGGGTTGGCAGTCATTGTTCATTGGATAAAATATGGTTTAAAGATATGCTTGTCTATCTCTAAGCCCCGCCCATGCACTGATGTCTCTTGACACCCAGAGGCAGAGGTCATGGGTATAGAGGCAGCAGTGGCTTTGAGAAGTGGACTCCCTGGGCATTTTGGGGTTGCTCATGTTTGATGAGCAAAGGTGGCAGCTGAATGGTTAATAATCTATAAAAGACCAAAGAAGTCAGCTTCTAGAGCTCATCTGGTGGTGGCGGGCTTTCACATGTCATGTGAACAGCACATGGGAAGCAAATACATCCCCAATGAGACATTTCCAACGAAGAGCTGCTCATACCCGGTTAGAGGGACAGAGTGGAAAGCTCAGGTGTCGTGGTTAGTATAATTGTTGTTAACACGAGCTCATTAAATATTAGTCATTTAACCTATGAGACCTCTGGGCTTGGCACTCACCTTTGCTTGTGGGCAGGGAAATCAGAGTTACAGAGAAAAATTCCTTTGTTGAAAACAGAAGAAATGCCCCATTTGTGGCTTTGAAATTGCAGCTGGACGGAACTGAAAATAGTTCAGAGAGCGTCAGCATTGAGAAGCCTGCAGACTTTTGTTTTTCTGCTCTCGGGATCAAATTATAGCAGATGGGGCAGTGGGGGGGACAGGCAAGGAGGCAAAGGCAACATTTTAAACATTGTGTAACATTGTGTTGTCCAGACAATTGTGATTACTTGAGATTTCACCAAATGCTTTAGCTTCTCACAGCTTCTCAACAGTAGCACCGTTGACATTTGGGGCCAGATAATTCTGTGTTGTGGCGGGCGGACTGCCCTGTGCATTGTAGGATATTTAGCAGCATCCCTGCGCACTCGATGCCATTAGCACCCCGCCCCCCATTGTGACAACCAAAAAGTATCTCCAGACATTGCTAAATGTCCCAAGGCCCAAAACTGATGCCCAGCTGTGAACCCCCGTCTTCAAGTGTTCTTGGGCACAACAGTGAAATCAGAAAGCCAATTTAGTTGTCAGCTTTCACATTATTTTTGGCCATTAATGCCAACATTTTCAAGGCCCCTGCTGGGCTCTGGGCTTGAGGAAGTAGCATAGGAACTGTGACGTCTATTCAGCTTGTTGTTTTATAAGTTCTGTTCCCTCAGGACCAGTTTGATTCCACTTGTCAACTTTTACCGATTCTTCTCAGTGGCACTGCTTTTCTCTTCCCATGGGCGGTGAGCTACGTCTGAGACAATGACTGTTTTCCCTGGAAGCATCCCTGTTATGGGTCTGTCCCTTAGAGTTCCTTACATAAGTTTTGATATGGTCAGCACCCAAGACCGGCACCTTATGGTCCAAGAACCCTAGAGGCCATCTGCTCCCACTGACCCGTATTCACATGTAAGGGTGACTTGTTTTTTAAAGGAACGAGTAACGGGTGCACTCCCAAATCCTGCATCACAGTTGCACTTCTGAATAACGTGGACTTCAGTTACCCCGGGAACAAGGAAGGATGTTTCATGGCAGGACAGTGTGAAGTAGGTTCCATTTTGGCACCCCCCAGTGATCCTCTGCAGTCTTGGAGGGAGGACCGGAGGGAATTCCAGATGAGCTTTCACTGATGGCAGAGAACAACACGGGAGCGCGCGCTTCACCTTAGCAGATCTCCCTCTGAGAAACCAAGTCTGAAGCACAGGCCTGAAGAGTGCAGTCATACGCTTCTTGGCAGGAGGGGGTTGGGATACATGAAAGTGGCTGCCTGGCCGTCAGCTTTGAGAACCCAACACTGTTCTGTGCCGGCGTTTCCCTTTGACCCCGTGCCCCAGTTCCGTGCTCTGCCTGTCTCCTAGTCCCCAGCCCCACCTGGGCTTCGTTCTGCCAGGTGGGGCTGGCAGAAGGGGGACCTGCACGCCGTCTGTCTCTCTCTCTTTCCTTTGCAGACAGACTCCACACCTTGTCTGAAAAGAGTTGTCATCTGGAGGTTTTCTTTTCTTTTTTCCTTTTTTTATTAAAAAAAATAATAATAATGTTTAGCTGCCAACCTGGGCGACAGACAGCATGCATTATTCTGAGTCATGCAAAAGATCCTTTTAAGGCAGCCATTATCTGCTCAGGCTGTTTAATCCTTTGGGGGCAGTGGGAGGGGCCCGGGGTGGCGTTGCTTTCATCCACATCAAACTGCAGAATGAAGTCCTGAGCTGTCCCGGCATTTCGCCCCATCAGTGGGGAAACATTTCCAACTAAAATACCTGAACCTCCTAATCCCCAGATTTCCTACTCTTTAAGAGCTCCTTGTGCATATCAGGAGTCCGCACCTCTGCCCACAATGGTGTTGAATAAGGGGGCACCAGGCCAGCCAAAACGACAAATGAGCTGCGACCGGGTAGATGAATTGTGCATAACTGGTGAGGCTTGGTAGAGGGTATCAGACTGGACATAAAAATGAAAACAAATATTTGAATAGCTCATTTGAATCTAAGCATATCTAAAGGGCCGAAGTTGTTTTATTATCAAATTTCATCAAAAGGATAACTTGACCAAATGAATGGTCTTTTGTGGTATGACGTTGGTACTGCGTAGATAGAAAAAGAATCATGGGCAGCATTTAAGTTCTTTCGGATATTCTGCCCAAAGTGAAACAACTATTTTCCCCTGACATCTAAAGACCATAACATCATTCCATTACTTAAGTCTGTGACAAACCACGGACTCACTCAGGATTCCAGTAACTTGGTACCATCACCAGGTTACCACGTAGTGGTTGGAACAGAGAGACAGAGCTTGTCCAGACAGCGCTGTGAAACAGGGTGACCTTTCATTCATTTTCCAGTGGATTCACCTTTTTGTCTCAGGGCAAATGAAGCAAGAGGAATAATGGGAGGAGTCATTTATTTGTGTCCAGAGTATTGCATCAGATGAAAACAAATTGATTATATTTGCCTAATGCTTTTCCTCCTGCCTCGGCTTCTCCCTGGACTACATAAATCTTACTGGAAAAACGGAGTAAAGCTTCCTGTTAACTCTCAAGCATGTCACAGCTCTCCGTGTGAGCAAAAACAAGTGACACAGGGCTTGCTCATAGATGGCCCCAGTGAGCCGGCAGGGACAAACCCTGTGGAATGAGGTGCGGCCTGGCTTCAGGACAAACTAGAGAGTGGCTGTGGAAGGGCAGGCCTAGAAGCACTGTCAGTTTACAACTTCTTCCCTGCCCACATGTCTGACTCGCTTAGAAAAGATTAACAGGAGTGTTTGTTTGAAAGTCAGACTCCTGGTTTCCTCATTAGTGGAGAAATTTGCTGCAGACTTCAGTTGTTTCTATAAACTTTAATTACCTCTCTGATGAGGAGTACATCCCCTCATCACATTCACCCCAAATTTACAGAGGAGGTCATTTAAAAAAAATGTGTTAGAGCAATAAAAAAACCACTAGAGGGTGGGAGGAAGGGAGGGAGGAAGGGAGGGAGGGAGAGGGAGGGAAGAAGGGAGGGAAGAAGGGAAGGAGGGAGGCTAGCTGAGAGAAGGGGAAGGGAGGGAAGGGGAGGGAGAGAGAGATTGAAAGAGAGAACACACTAGCTCTCCCTGCTGGAATAATAGGCTTGAAATATGAGGAAGTTGATCAAGGGCCGATGCCTTCCAAAAACAGATTAATCCACCCTGGTAGCTTTCCTTTCAGAGCAAGCTTTTGGCTCTCTCAAGTTTCTCTGTGGGCCCGAACACAAGAGGACACAGGCCACATGCCATTCTGAGCCTGAAGTTATTTTGTATGTTGATCTGAGAACTTACAAATTTTAAAACATTGAATTCTTGCCTCTGGTCCGTGTTGTTGCTGCCTTTGGGTTTGCTGATAGAAAGACTATGGTCCTAGCCTGGTCATTTAATGAATAATTCTGAGAAAGGGAAACTGCCCCAGGACACCATCCTGCATCTACAGTGTTGGTTCTCAAAGAGGGGTGGTGGTGGGAGACAGGGGTGGCCCCCCTCACCCCTACCCCCAGGACATCTGACAGTGTCTGGAGACTTTATTGGTTGTCACAGTTCAGAGGGAGGGGACACTACTGGCATCTGGTGAGCAAAGACCAAGAGAGCGGCCAGTCATCCTACAATGCACAGAACAGCCCTCCATACCCCAACACATAACTGTCGGCACAAAAGTGGTCAATAGTGCCACTTTTGAGAAACTCTGATCTACAGGACACTGGGAACACTGCCTGGCACCCAACCCCCCTAGTAGTTCCCAAGGGCGCCTGTGGTTAAGAAAAATGCAAAGGGATGCAATAAAGGCTAGCCAAAGCCACTCTGTGAAACTGTAAATGTGTAATCCTAACGAAATGAGTTTTATAGACAAAGCTTTGCCATTCCTGGTGAACTTTCAACATGTGTGAAAATGGAGTAGATAATTTAAGGTTCTGCAGCCATTCGTGTTAACAAACCAGTGAAGCACATAGTAGAGAATACCAGGTGAAATCGAGGCTGGATTGTTTCTACAAATGTGGAACTAGTCTGAGGTAGATGTGGGGAGAAAGTGGTACTGATAGTCACTAACATTCACTCACAGTCACCACTATGGTATGCAGAGATTGACTCACAGGAAATTCCAATTTGGAGCTGTTTGAGTCCTACAAATATGGCAATTTCCTATGATGCAATCTAAATATTATGTATAATGTATTATGTTATTATATATTAATATTGTTATGCTACATCATATCATGCATATATTCTATTAATTCATTAATACATCCATTCCATTTGTAATTATAGTGTTATATTGTTGTAGGTTATATATTGTTATAATTATATTAATATCACAGATTAAATTTATATTAATATCGTTGTATAAATATATTGATTGTATAGAGGGTTGGTAAACTTTTTCTGTAAAGAGCCAAATACTAAATCTTTTAGGCTTTCTGGGCCCTGTGGGGTGTGTCATGACCACTCAGTTCTGCAGAGGTAGCTCAAAAGCAGCCATAGGCAATACAAAAAAGAATAAGTAAGGCTGATTCCAATAAAACCTTATATATATGGACACTGACATTCGAATTTCATGTACTTTTCATGTCAGGAAATGTTTTTCTTCTTTTGATTTTTTTTCAAACCTTTAAAAAAAATAAAACTCATTCTTAGCTTGTGGGCCATACAAAAATTGGCACAGCCAGATGTGGCCCATGGGCTGTAGCTTGCCAGCCCTGGGATTATATCAGTATTATATCTATATTATACATATTCTATTGGGTTGTCGGAAAAGTCATGACGTATTTTGTCTGTTTTTTTTTTTTTACAAAAATGCGTCATGACTTTTCCGACAACCCAATATAGTACGTCTAGACTCTACATATTGTATCTTTATTATATTTATACTATTATACTATATTATATACCATATTATATTACATGATGCCATATATTATCTTATATTACTGTGCATTATCATACCATCTCCCTGGTCAGCAGCTTTCTGGGAAGTCCCTATGTCCTTAAGCAACAGCATTCATTGTTTCCCATTTCCCTGGGCAGCAGCCTTCTGGGTAATCCCCCATCTTCCTGGGCAGTGGCTTTCTGGGTAACCCTCCAGCTCCCTGGTCAGCGGCATTCTGGGAAGTCCCTATGTCCTTAAGCAACAGCATTCAGCGTTTCCCATCTCCCTGGGCAGCAGCCTTGTGGGTACTCCTCCATCTTCCTGGGCAGCAGCCTTCTGGGTAATTCTCCATCTTCCTGGGCAGTGGCATTCTGGGTAACCCTCCTGTGGGCGGGCCGACGGGGGAGGGGCGTGGCCTCCCTGAATTCCCGTCTCTCACCGTAGTATCTCCCCACCCTGCAGCTGCGCCGGACCTGACGGCCTTCGGCGACCCGCGCCAGTTCCCCGCGCTGCCCTCCATCTCAGACCCTCGCATGCACTACCCCGGCGCCTTCACCTACTCCCCGACGCCCGTCACGTCAGGCATCGGCATCGGCATGTCGGCCATGAGCTCCGCCACGCGCTACCACACGTACCTGCCACCGCCCTACCCCGGCTCGTCGCAGGCGCAGGGCGGCCCGTTCCAGGCCAGCTCGCCGTCCTACCACCTCTACTACGGTGCCTCCGCCGGCTCCTACCAGTTCTCCATGGTGGGCGGCGAGCGCTCGCCACCGCGCATCCTGCCGCCCTGCACCAACGCCTCCACCGGGTCCGCGCTGCTCAACCCCAGCCTCCCGAACCAGAGCGACGTGGTGGAGGCCGAGGGCAGCCACAGCAACTCGCCCACCAACATGGCGCCCGCCGCGCGCCTGGAGGAGGCCGTGTGGCGGCCCTACTGAGGGGGCCCGTCGCGCCGGCCGGGTCAGCCGGGCCGCGCCGCCGGACGTCGCCCCAGCAAGAGCCTCGTCAGGGCCCGGCCTTGTGTTCTGGAGAGATCCGCGTGGGACCCGCCACCGGCCACCGGCCCTGGGGAGCGCGTGCCTGCGGCCTCCAAGCCGCCCGCGCCCCTGAAGCCCGCGCGGCGCGCCGTGGCTGTCGGCCCGTCTCCGATTTTTCAGACCTGACGCAACTGGAGGGTGTCCGCTCCCCCGCCACGTGGGCACGTGGTAAAGCAAACAGGAAGATTCCCGGAGGGAAACTGTGAATGCTTCTGATTTAGCAATGCTGTGAATAAACGAAAGATTTTATACCCTTGACTTCACTTTTTAACCAAGTTGTTTATTCCAAAGAGCGTGGAATTTTGGTTTAGGGGTGAGGGGAAGACAGCTCATCCTGTTTGGCATCAAATTCATATTTTTAATTTTCTTTTCCAGCACCTTATAAATTGCAAAATGCGTATTTGCATTTGGGGTGGTTTTTATTTTATATATATATATATCTATATAGATATATATATATATAGATATATATATAAATTTGAGCTTGCTTTTTTTCTTGCTATGACAATTGAAAGAAATATGATTCCTCTTTCTGTTTTATTTAACTTTTCTTTTGGACTTGTGTGTAGTTGTTTTTTGAGAAACAGCTACAGCTTTGGGTCATTTTCAACTACTGTATTCCCACAAGGAATCCCTAGATATTTATGTATCTTGATGTTTAGACACTTACTTATGTGTTGATACTTTTTTTATTATTTAAATGTACTTATATTAAGAAAAATATCAAGTACTACATTTTTTTTTTGATAGTAGCCAAAGTTAAATGTATCACATTGAAGAAGGCTGGGAAAAAAGGATGGGTAATGTGATCACTTGGTTATCTAAATATTGTTTACATTAAACTTCCTTTAATGTTAATCAAACGAGTTGGTAGCTAATGCAGCAATGTTTTTCATAGGCTTTTTTGATATTAAGGGTCACTCCAAAGATCTGAAGTATGGAATTCTCTGCCAAGCTCAACAAAGGGTCTCATATCTGACCCCCTCCCTTCAAACAGAGAAGGTCAAATCTGGCTCCAGACCGTTCATGTAGATGCCAATGATTGCACCTCTGGAGAGGATTTATTTTCTGCCTAGGGATTTGCTCACTCCATAGCTTCTTGATCATTTCAGACATGCTTTGTCACAGAACAAACCCAAAGTAAGCTGTATCCACATGGGAACTAAATAAATGAACTGAGGGGGTCCCTTAAATGCTCAGTTCTGGGATAGAAAAGAGATCATCTGAATCCAGAGTTCAGGTGTTCTTAGCTCCAAGAGAATATTCCTCTTTGATCCAGTACCTGTTCATTTATGCAGAACAAAACTTGTGGCTGTTCCCCAAGCCTGGGACTAGACCGGGTGCTTTTGACAGCCAAAGGTCCCCAGCTAAACTTCCATAGGGTGGGCCCAGAAGCAGGCCCGGACAAGCCAGTTTCCCTCTGTGTGTGTGTGTGTGTGTCTGTCTGTCTGTCTGTCTCTGGAGTCCCATGGGAGAGCATCATCCCACCTGTGCAGGACCCCATCCCACGCTGTCCTCCACCACCACCTTGGTGTTGCTTCCACCTGGCTGAGACCCTACCCTGTGGGCTGTGTGCGCTTTTCCCTGCACATCAGCATGACAGGAAGGATGTCACTGCTGCCCACGGCTACAATTCAAACATATCCAATGTCACTGTAAATTTTATGGCACTATTTTTATTGGAGGATTTGGTCAGGAGGCAGTTGTACAACTCATAAATACTAACTGCCGATTCTGACATATGTGTGCTTAAAATGATCTGGTTGTTATTTAATGTACCTCTTAAATTAGCTGAAACAATTTCAGGTCAACTCAGAAGAGTATTTGAAAGCAGGACTTTAGAACAGTGTTTGATTTTTATTTTATAAATTTAAGGATTCCAATTAGAAAAATCTTTGGCTGCAGGCAGCAAGACAGCTGGACTTATTTAAAACAACTTGTTTTTTGAGTTTTCTTATATATATGTATATATATATATATATTGATTATTTGTTTTACACAAATGCAGTAGCACTTTGGTAAGAGTTAAAGAGTAACCAATTTGTGTTGTCAGGTCGTTCTTATCTAGAAAAAACCTAAAGCAGATCTTGGAGAAACTCAGAATATGTTCATTTTGATTTTAGACATAATTCTCCCTCCACAATTCAATTTCATGTTGTATCCTATATTACATTTTTGCAGCAAAGTTATCCTTAAATGCCAGTAAATTTAAAATGTTTATTTCTTAAAAGGAACCTTAGCCCATTTTCCCCAAGTTGAATTTAAATGTTCTTCTCAGCACGAGTTGCCATATCTGACCTGATAAAATGTTGGGAGAAAAACGAAGGAAAAAAAATTATATTTTTCAGTTCAATTGTACCTGAAGATATTCCAACTCAAAATCAGCCTAATGCCCTAGAGGGGAATCAGACAATCTCGTACATTGAATCTTCACTCTCAAAGCCGTGTATGAGGAGGGCATGTCACTTTGTTGTAGACCCACTGGTTTGGCCATTCAGAGTTTCATAGACCCTTACCAGCACAGGTAGCAGTTAATTGGTCCAGAAAAAAATAAACCTTCCTTGTTTTGTAGATAGGTCTCATACTCAATGCATTTTCCTCCCTAAGGATTTGCATTCATTGCCTTCAGGTAAATTAAGGTGGTCCTTTTTTCAGGGAGACCCTTAAGCCAATAATGTAATAACTGGATGTATCTGGAAGCATTGGTGCAGGAGAAGAAAGATTAAATAAGCCATCTCTACTGCGTATTCATGCCCTTATTTATAATTTCAACATGGACACGTTTCATTTCAGTTTTTTGTTTTTCTCACTATCTAAAATGCTTCTGTTTCTCTCCCTCTCTGCCCCTTCATATCTCCCTCTTTCTCTCTCCCCACCCTGCACCCCCCAGTCCATTCTTCCACTTTGTATAAGGAAATATAGCACACACCCCCACCCCAACACCAAATATCCAAAACAAGCGGAGCTGCGGTTCTCCTCCCTTTACATAAGGAACATGGTGAGTCAGCTTTCCTCCTGCTTATGGGTTTCTTCCAGCAGAACAGAGACGTTGCCGACCATTCTGGGTCTGCTTACTGTCCAAGTGCAGCAACAGAAGCCTTCCTGGGCAAATTACAATCAGTGAGTTAATAGACAGCCTTTCTGCTGCCTGGGGTTTTTGTGCAGATAAACAGAAATGCTCTGATTAGAAAGGAAATGAATGGTTTCACTCAGATGTCCTGCAATTTAGGATTGCAGATTTCTTTCCTGAAATACCTGTTTCCTTGGGACATTCCGTCCTGGTGATTTTTGTTTTTGGTGGGTTTTTTTTTTTTTGGGGGGGATGACATGTTTGGGGTCTTTTATACATCAAAAATCAGTTTAACAATAATCTCAGAGAACATTTTTTATACCTGAACAAAATGCCTTTTTGTTTACCTACAGTATACAATTGTTTGGCAGGGGTTTTGTTTGTCTGTTTGGAGTTTTCCCCCTTCTTTTAGCCAGATCAGTATTGATGAGGCTGATCATTTGGCATTATCTTTTACTTCCAGAAGAGTTGCATCAACAAAGTTAATTGTATTTATGTATGTAAATAGATTTTAAGCTTCATTATAAAATATTGTTAATACCTGTAAGAACTGTTTTCAATTTTTTGTGTGTTTCTAAGGACTTTTTCTTATGTTTGCTAAATACTGTAGACAAAAATGCTTCTTTCTACCTTGTTTATTTTAGACTTTAAAACAAGCTACTTTTTATTCACTTTTGTAAAGAGCAAATAGCATGGTTCCAATTTTTTTTTTTTTAAGTTCACTTTTTGTTCTGGGGGAAATGAATGTGCAAAAAAAACCCCTGTTGGTTATTTGTGCTATTCTGGATGTATAAAAATCAATGGAAAAAAATAAACTTTCAAATTGAAATGACAGTAGAACACATCTATTGAGAAAGTAACCGTGGGAAACGCTGTCCTCCTTGACTAGGCCCCACCTAGTGTCTACCTGGGTAACAGTTACTGGATCTGTTCACAAAGCACCCTGGAAATGTGTGTGTGGTTTCTTTCTCCCTGGCACTGGCATTGAATATGTTCTGAAAGGGAACTGTCAATCACAAGTGTTAAACCAGATACAATATGAGAGAGCACCCCAGGAGCCCCTCTCCAAGGTGCTTCTAGATCATGCGGGAAAGCAGGCACTCCATCTTACGTCTTAAGTAGTTCACTGTGCGTAGTCAGGGCATTCGTCATGCCCAGCCTGTGCAGGGCAGTTGGCCTGCTGCTGCCTGGGACCCACTGGAGCCTTTCTTTCTTTGTACTACAATCTTCTGTAAATCCAGCATAATAACTAGCAAATGGCAAATAAACAAGTTTGGCAAGTACATACACCATATCACATTGATTTTGTCTTTCCCTGACACAGAAGGCTGGGAAGCCACATGAAGCCCCCTGCAACACACAAGAGATTCCCTTCACAGGCTTGCCTGGCTACAAGCAGAAGTCTCTGCCCTCTCCTTCTAGGGCTTCCATCGCAGTCCAACTTCTGAGGGCACGATGGCCTAGCTGAGACCCAGGCTTCCAGTCTCCTGAGGGCACAATGGCCGAATTGAGGCCCAGCCTTCCAGTTTGCACCTTTGGGCAGAAAGGAGCACTGAAGCATGCTTTAATGCTTGTTTAAAAAGAAAAGCGACAGAAAAAGAATTACATGGGATTTGCAAACCCAAAGTGGAAAGGGTGTATGTTCAACTGAAGCCAGTCACCCTCATCTGCCTCTGTGTCTGTAAATTATAAGAGGCAGCCTCGAATAGTGGTAGGAGTTTTTTTAAAAGAATTTCCACCCTCACTACCACCCCTGTGCAGATTATTCTTAGTATTTCCGTCTCAAGGCTCCGAGTGAAGCTCCTTCCCAGTTCTTGTCGTTGCCATCTCATGGTCTTCAATGGGCTGCACCGTGGCCACAAAGAATGTCAGGAACCAAAGCAAGTGGGATCAAAAGAAATGACTGACAGAGGAAGTCATGGCTAATGAGCGAAGGCAGGAAATGGGCGGGAGGATCAGGTTACAGATGTTCAGAGACCTCGCCTAGTGGAGTGGCTGAAGGACCCGCCTGGGTTTGAGTCCCACTTCTGTCGCACACGAGGGAACAAATGGAGCCAGTGCCCTAGTTTATCTCTATCTCAACCATAACATCGGGATAATAATGCTTTAAGTTATGAGATGTAAATAAGTTCATACACGTTAGACCCTTTTACAAGCGCTTGGCACATAACACATGCACCATAAATGTGAAATAGAGAAAGTGACACTGCTCGTTATTAAAAATGTAAACACTGCCAAACAAAAAGGTAAAACGTCTTCCACTTCTCCCAGTCCATGCCTTGCTGTTGCTGCCAACTGTTTTGTGTCCACCGTTCCAGACTTTTTCCTGTTACCCATAATATACAGCGCACACTTATCTCCACCCATGCAAAAAGACATCGTCTCAATACATATCACTGCACAGTTTTTTCACTTAGTATACAGTGCGCCTCCTTCCACATCAGTACACTTAGACCTACTTCATTCTTTCCAGGAACAGCCCTGCATCAGAACACATGGTCATATACCCTCTCCTTTATCCATAGGCATCTAAGTTGCTCCCAGTGTCCTGCCATTATAAGTGTTCTCTGCATAAATCTTATGCCCTTATGCTAGAATTATTGTACATTTCAAAGGAACTGCTGGCTCAAAACGATTTTACATTTTGATAGATACCTCCAGCTTGCTCTTTCAAAAGGTTGGTTTTTTTAAAAAAGGTTTTATTGGGGAATTGGGGGAGGGGAAAAGCACTGGGGAATTGGGGAAGGGGAACAGACAAGTTGCTGTCCTTTTGTTCTTCAGTCTAGTTGTGGAGGACGTTGCTTTCCTGGCCCATGTTCGTATTATCATTGCGCTCTTCCCGGCTGAGGCAGATTGGTCACCTATCACTGGACGGCCACTCATGGTAGCTCATGCAGCCCACTGCAGCTCCACTGCAGCCTACGCCGTCACTGGTGACTCATGGCAGCCCAGCTCCAGGTTGAGCTGTTGTTCAGCATCTTAGCTGTGGAGGGCAGTGTCACTGGACCTCATATGTGGGATCCGAACCGGGGCCCTGCTGCTCAGAGTTGGCATCCCAAGCCAGCTCTTAACCAATGCGCCACTTGGCCGGCCCTCAAAAGGTTTTATTGAATTCGATTTCTAGGGTCAGGACCATGTGCTAGGAAGAAGAAAACAGAGACTTGCCAGGTAGATGCTGGATTACCACTATCTATCGCAACTTTTTAAAGCAGACCCTAGTGTCACAGCGATTTTGTACCTTCTGAAGTGCTCAAAGTCCTCCAGAGGAGGAATGTTGGCCTGAAGAAAACAGTAACAATAAACATTTGTTGAATGCTTACTGCTAACCGGGCCCTGGTTTAAGCGCTTCACATACACTGATTTATTCAGTTCTTACAATGGCCCAATGAGAGAGAGATTCTGTGGTTGTGTCCATTTTTCAGATAAGAAAATGGAGGTGCAGTGAGGTGAAGCAATTCACCCATGGCCCCACAGCCATTGGTGGAGAAGCAGTGAATTGAGCCCCACTGACAGCCCAGGACTCCCTGCTTTTAACCACTTTCTGTAATGAAGCTCTGAGCAGTGTTAGACGTTCAGTGATGGCAAATGAGTTATCTAAACCCTCAGCGGCGGCCTGTCTCTTTATATAATGTCTCCTTCTTGCTAGTTTGAAAAGCAGAAGGGAGAAACGGCTGTGTGAGAGTTTCTGGAGAAGGGGGAACTGAAAGGGCTTCCAAAGAAATTGTTCAGCCTCGCTCAGTGCACAAAACCCTGGAGAGGTTCCAGGTTAAAAACCCCTCCCTGCATGTCCAAGGGTGTCAGGCAGGCCCCATGAAATCTGAGTGACAGCCTCAGAGGGAGCCCCCCACCCTGCTCAACCAAGCCCTTCATTCATTTGATTAGTTTTAATGAATAAGCTTTATTTTTTAGAACCGTTCTAGATTTACAGAGAAATTAAGCAAAGAGTATGGAGAGTTCCCATTTCCCCACCCACCATGTACCCACTCCCAGAACACAACTTCCCCTGTTGCTGATGTCGTAAACATTAAAACATTAGTATGGTGCATTTGGGACCATTAATGAGCCAATATCAATACCTCATTATTAACTAAAGTCCATAGTTTATTCAGATGTCCTTAGTTTTCGCCTAATGTTCTTTTTCTGTTCCAGCATCTCACATTACATGTAATTGTCCTATCTCCTTCGGCTCCCCTTGGCCATGATGCTTTCCCAGAATTCTCTTGTTTATGAGGATCTTGGTAATTCTGAAGAGTACTGGTCAGGTATATTGTAGGATGGCCCTCGATTGGAATTTGCCGACTGCCTTTTTCTTAAGATTAGACTGGGGTTACGGGTTTGGCAGGGAAGATCACCGAGGTAGCATGCCGTCTGTATCATATCATATCAAGGGCATAGACTATCTGCATAGCTTATGACTGCATAGCTTATGGATGTTGAGCCTGATCACCTGGTGGAAGTGACGTTTATCAGGTTCTACTCTGTGAGGTTACCCTTTGTTTCCTCCCTTTCCTTACTGTACTCTTTGGAAGGAACTTGCTATACCCGGGCCACATTTAAGAAATGGGGAACTATGCAGGAGTCCTTGATTGACAGCTGGGAAAGCCCCCACCAGCAGGCCACATGCCTGGGGATACAGAGGCTGATGGCCCATGGCATGAAGCACTCTCTCTGCTTCAGAGGGCCTGGGCAGCTCCTTCCTCTGTTATAATAAATGCATGAACACTGGGTCTCCACCCCTCCAGCCTAGAAAATTCAAAGTTTCAGGATTCTACAAGCAGCTCCATGGTGCCTGGTCACTTGGAACCCACTGTCTGTCTTTGTACAAAGCCAAGCTTTCCCTCACCCCCCAGATGATGTTAACAAAGTCCTCACAAAGTATCCAACTGTGACTCAGGATGCCATGAAGTCACCACCATTTTTTTTTAGGTTTGGGATCCTTGGCTGAGCTTTATCTTATGACCTGACAAAATTTCCCTCCCATTTGTTCAAAACCAGCCCACCCTGCATCCGTGGCTCTGCTTAGCTGGGATCTCAGACGATTAGATCCCAGGATCCTAAGGGAATTCCAAAGGGAATGAAGGCACCCTCTCTCTGATGCATGGATAGCTCACCCTTGCCCTTGGGGTTTCTCAGAGGTAGCTTTGCCTCCTTCCTGACATATAATAGAAGTTCTCGTACTCGTTTTTTCAAAGGGAGAGGAGATGGCATGGAATGTGTTTACTGCCCCAGTAGGAGGAGTGTTAGTTGTGTGCCAAATCTTAATATTGGTAATTAAATTTTGCATACCTCAAATTCTCCCTCTAGTTTCCATTTCATTGAAGCTGTTGTAAGGATTAATTAATGTTTTGAAAGTGTTTTGAAGATGAAAAGTCTTACACACATACACAGTATGATTATTTGTTATTACAAATAATTGTATGCAGCCACTTTCTTCCCTCACCTCAGTGATTATGTGAGGGTTTTTGCAGGCAATTAAATGCTGTGCGGCCTCTCTTACAAAATGGCCGCCTTTCACCAAAAAAATGTTTCTATGGCAGTGAACAATGCATAGCTTTCCCTCCTAATGGAGGAGGAAGGCCTCAAACAAATCAACACGTAACATATTGTATTTCAGGTGACATATTAATTTCCTAGGATCGCTATAACCAAGTACCACAAACTGGATAGCTTAAAACAACAGAAATGTATTGTGTCACAGTTCTGGAAGCCAGAGTACAAGATCAAGCTGTCGGCAAGGTTGGTTCCATCTGGAGGCTCTGAGGGAGAATCCGTTCCTGGCCTCTCCCCTTCTCTGCTCCAGGTGCTTGCCCCAATCCTTAGTGTTCCTTG